AAAAAAAAAAAGATCAAAGAATAATACTTAAGTAAACTTAAAAACATTCTAGGCTGTGGTTTAACTTCATTTCTCCTAGCAACCTACACCGTAACTCCCAGTTATTCTGGTCTTAGGTCAGAAAGAACCCCCATGCCAGTAAACAGAGTGAATGTCCTCCTCCAGCCTCTCTGAAGGCTAAACCCCTTTGCTTTAAAATTGCCTGCAAATGACATCTCCTGGGGCAGGAAGCCATCAATATGCAGCATGGGTCTTTGAGAATAGCAACCATGAATATAAATGTTAACATCTGGACTTCTCCCTTCTGTTTTGGTTTTAATATATTATTATAATAAACATTAACATTATTTTTAATAATCATCAAATAGCAGTTTCTCTGGCAGCCTGGGACTTCATTATTAAATCAAATGGTGAAAGTAAATACACAGCTCTTTTACAAGGAAAGTTGAAAGTTTGACTCAACGCTGCAAATATGCCATTGTTAGTCTAATCTATTGTAGAATTCATAGAATAATGAATTAACTTTCCAATTGCATACAGTGAGGCATAACAAATGAGAGAATGCTACCATGGTAATGAGCAAAATATACCCTTGTTTTTGCAGGTTTTAATGGGCTACCTACTAAGGAGAGAGACTTTATCTGCATTTTTTTTTAACCAGTAAAATCTGAGAGTAATTGAAGTGAAAATTTGAGCAGGGACCATCGGTAGTCCACACTTTTAGAGCATCTCCAGATACTAAGCCTGCCAGGTTTGCCTGTATTCTCTGTATTTCAAACAACCAAAGAGGATGGGGGAAAGATTAAAATGTGACTTTTAAACCACTGGATGTGGCAACAGTTAAAACTGCTTCTGGTTTAATTTGTACAAAATTGGACGTGGATGGTATCTGTTTTGGGGTCCGAGCTCAGCAAGTAGCCGCAGGTAGGAGATGCTGTGTGCTTATACAGAAGTCTGGCTCTGAATGAGACTAGGCTGTGCCTAAGAGTTAGACTGCCCTAGTCTGGGATTGATATAAGAGAAGAAATTCTTTTTAAGGATTTTTTTGCTTATTATTACTAGATTGCAATGTTACTAGAGTTGGACTTTTTTTTTTTCTGTTGGGGAGAAGGAATTGATTGGTGGCTTACTTTGTCTGCATGGCAAGAGCAAAAGTGACTTAATTTTGGGTAAATTTTCATGGGCTTTGGGAACATGACCCATTATCCCTCTTGATGGATTTTGGACAAGGATCTTGTTGCATTGTGGCTTTAGTAATAAATCTTCTATGTATTTATGTAGATAAAATTAAATTTACAAGATGTAAGTTTAATAGTTCTGCATTAATCCTTCATAAAGCATTGATCTTTTGTTTTTATCTTCCTTCTCAGTGTGTCAATCCTGATCTTCAATACTTCTCGGCAGTGCTTTGTTGTGGTGAAGCAGTTCCGCCCAGGTAATCCTCTTTTTTTAGATTTACTTTTGCTCTCTAGTGAAGCAAGCTTTTAAGGGTTTAGCACTTAAAAGTTGGTGCATCTGTGGTGATAAAATCTTTGTTCTATATTCTGTTTCTTTGTATGATAGCCCACCCTTTTCAGTTGGTCAGAATCTCTATCCAGGGAAATTTCCATTACAGATGAAACAAATGAGCAGGGTAGCCTTACATTCTGCTTTTGGGCTAGTCATTGTCCTCTTTTGGATGAAATTACAAACAATGTAGTGATCATGATCATTATGATCATGCAATAGATTGCTTTTATTTGGAGTTCCTTCTTGACCTATGTAGTATTTAGTAGGCAGCTTCTGTGCAGAAGCACAATATTCCCTTTTTTTTTCTTAAATATTCATTTTTTTGTTTTTTAAATGTGTTATTGTGCATTGTATAGTTGGGAATTTAAAATGAGGGAAATTTAGGACTCTGTTTTTTCATCAATACATGGACAGCTTCATTTTACCAGTTACAGTTATGATTTTAGGTTATTATACTTTTTTTTTCCTGATTTTTTTGTATCAGTTATTTGAATTCAAAGCAATTTTTACTTTTGGGACGTTAAAAACTAAATGCATATTCTCTGCATGTTAATTAAAAAACCCCACAAGATATTTCACTGACTGTTGCTAAGAGACCATTTCAAGACTGTTCCTGGTAGACTTTATAGGAAACTTTCAAGGGTGGTGTCACGCTGTCCTTTCTTACTGACAGTGATTGACAGGCTCTTCGGTGCTGTGCGGCACTGTTACACTGACAGTGCATGCTTCTCATGAAGCACTATATTGACTATTATAAAGTGTTTGTTTATTTGTTTATCAATAATCCGGTGTCTTATTTGCCAGCCGAATAAAATGGCTTATATAGCTATTGCTCTCTTTGAGACAATCTTCGGCAGAAGCCTTCATATATGTGGATATATATATATATATATATATATATTGAACAGCGAGATATTCATTACATCATCCCTATGGAAGTGTCAAATCTGCCTCAAAATATATGTGGATATATATATATATATATATATATATGTACTGAACAGCGACATGTTCATTACATCATCCCTATGGAAGTGTCAAATCTGCCTCAAAAGGCTGGGCTGTTCTTGGAGTTAAACTGTTCAGAGACTGGAGCTGCTCAGAAACCTGGCCTTAGGGACAGCGGTCAGTCAGACACTATAGCAGTTCAGTGATTGCAACCATGCCCTGACATTACTCTCATCGCTAGAATTATATTTCCATTCCATGGTTATTGTCTGCCTTGCTGCCTGTTTATTAAGGCTGAGAATTTTCTCATTGCTAGCTCCTACTGGGGTCCCACCAGGAAGGCGATAGCTCGTTACTTGTGAGCAAGCAGCTGCTGCTCACTCACCAGGCACGTCCCCTGCACGTGTTGCTGGCTGACACATGTGCCTGCCTTTCCTTACAGCGCGGTGTCATGGTCAGGTTTTCCCACTGAAGTCTGTGCTGCTTCTAAAGGCACTCATGCCTCCCTGCATGTACATTCCCACCCCATTCCCTTTGGCAGCACCAGCCCTTATGCAGCCACAGCAGAGGTCTTAGGTGGCTGCAAACAGATAATTTTGAGGATTAGACAATTTAGCTGACTGGCCTGGAAGAGTTCATGCTGGCTTGAGGGGTGGCAGGAGCACGCAAATGGGGTGAGACAGACAGGACCATATTTTTCACAGTACTGTGGGCTTAAATCATCTTGAAAAGAGCAGAGAGAAAAAAGTTACACATATATCTCAGTAGTCTCCGTATTAGTTGCTCACCTGTGACTGATTGGCCAAGGTCTTGGGCCAATGCTCATTTTGATAGTCAATTGACCACACGTTTTCAAATATAGTAAAATAATATGTTCCTGGGAAAGGTTGGGGTTAGTGCCTATGAACATGTGCCCTGTTTTTTTCATTGTAAGTATAATGACTTTTCAGTGTATTGTGGTGTTTATTTTTGCACTGACTTAAAAGAAACAGTGTCAAAGATCTGAGTCATAAGCCCTGTTCTGTTTCAGGGGGTACAAAACACTGGTGCAATCAAAGAGAAATCAGAAGTTTAAAGAAAAGCTAGCATGTTCCCCAGTCAGCTAAACCCCACTAACCCCTCAGTCCGTACAGTTGTTTTCTTCTCTTTAGGGGTAGCAAACAAGTCCCTGTACATGAGTCATCTAACGAGGCTGTTTTGAATAACAGTTATAATCTTATTTGATGAGTTTGGTTAAGCCTTCTATCCTTTGTTCCGTCTTTGCAGAAAGTAAGGCAAGTACATCAATTCTACTGGAGTTTCCACTCTGAAACTTCTTACAGCTGAGTGACGCTGGGGTAATTAGTCAGGATGTTTAATGAGCACTAGATGGTTGGTTGAGTCCTCACTGTTCTCATCGCATGCATCCATGTGATGATGAAGGAAACTGCCCGGTGATGATGAAGTGGCACTTTCTGACCAAAGTAGCATAAGCCATCGGAGGACAAGAGAGCAATTGGACACGGGACTAGTGGGCGGGTGACTGTGCTGGGAGTTGAGTTCTTGCTTCTAGTTTCTGCTCTGCGAACTCTTTGTGCATTTGCAATAAGCTGACAACCTGTGATGAGGAAGAGGAGAGTCACAGGTTTCCCTCTGAAGAGTGTGCCCTAACAAATAGGCCACAGACTGCTTTTCCACCCAGTACTTTATCATCTCCCCTGCTGCATAACTTGTGCGGTCAATTTTGCACCTTCAGGAAAGGTACAGGGGACTCCTCTGTTCCCTGATATTAGCAGGTAGCTTGGTTTTCTAGGCTTTGCTTATCTATAAGAGATAAATTGAGTCTGAACCTTTTTGACCCTGCTGATACTGTGATTCCTTGGTGAATGCTCTAATTTTTCGACTCTTACAGAAGTGACTGGTACTGCTTCTTTACTTCCTTATCTGCAGAGAAAAGCTGTTCTTGTGCTTTGAGTGTTGGCTTTGCTCTGAAGAGGACTGCTGGATCGGGTGCTTTGGGAATGTAGGTTTTGATCTACATGGAGCCCAGTTGTGCTGAGGGAGAAGGAGAACGGCAGGTGCCTGCCGGAATGACAGGATGGGTTTCAGAGATTCAAGAGGCTCATAACAGAGAGTTACTTTAATCACAGTTTCATATTTCTGTACCCACGCTCCTACCTGCATCCTGTTTTGGTGCCCAAGTCCTTTACTGGGATATATGCATCGTTTCTTTTTGTATTTACTGATATGGATAAGTCAATCCTGAAAAAGCAATACATTCTTAAGACTATTTGGTTCGTTCAGAGAGAGCCTGGAGGTGGTTGTCATTTATGATAATTGTCATAGCTGCTAAAAGTTTTTGGAATAATGACAATAGACACCCTTCAAGAATCTGTCCTTCAGACTCTGCATGGAATATTTTTTTTGCCACCTTCTTGCTGCATTTTAAAAAGAAAACTAAGCTCTAGTCATGTTTTTCAACTAAGAAATGGAAGCTGCTTTCCTTAAATGTTTGAATCTCAAAGGCCTAGATGTACCTACTGCAAACAGCTTTGAAAGTTTTAAATTCTGGAGAAAGATTAGTTTGGGGGCAAGCTTCTGCACATTGTCTTTCTTGTTAGACTGATCTAGACATCTCCTGTGCAGGTGCTGATCTTGCTATACTACACTTCTGAGGCGAGAAGCGTTATAGAAGGAGCCTAAGCACAAACTTCTGGGGTATAGACTCTTCCCCAGAGACCAAGTGCTTGAGAAGTCACTGTGGTGTATAACCTTTACGCGACAACATTTCTTTAGGGACCTTGTTGTATATTACAGTTTTAAGAACTAATAAGCTAAATCGAGTAGCTGGAAGAACAAAAAGATGCCTATTAAACTTGACCTATTTATATACCAGTTCTGCAAGACTTAGAATGGGAAATAAAAGATAAGCTCATTTGAAAACCATGTTACATGTATATGAAATACGCATGTAAAATATTTTAATGGAATAAAAATATTTTCAAATTTTAAAATAGTTTTATTCAGGGTATTTTCTAACACCCTTATGGTAACCTGTTATGAAAAGCAAAGGGGTAAATAGGCATGAGGAAACTTCAAAGAAGAAACAGGTGGGATTATACCTGTAAGCTAAAGTTACAATGATTGGAATTGTCAGTAGTGATTCTTCTTGTGTTAGCATCCAGTCCTGTGGTTCTCACTCAGGCAAATTTTCTCTTGACATCAGTGAGAGGTTTTGCTTAAATAAGGACTAAAATCTGGCATTTGCACTTTCTTTAGGAGTGCATTACAGCGGCAGCTGTTTCAAGAAGTCTTTTTCAGGCTCCGCACAGGAATCTGTGCAAGGAACTATATGTTCAAAAGAGGTTTGGAGGTGGTTTTTTTTTTTTTTTCAAACAAACATACATGCTTTTCATACCCTTTCTAAATAACAGCTGAGTTGACAGACTGAAAGACTCATCGTTGTGCACATGGTACATAATGTGCAACCCAACTTTCCTGCAGGATAACTGCATAATTTAAATTAAATCTTGATATCTGCATTGCCTGACAAATGGAAGCTGTATAGTGCTTCTGGGTCTTAGACTTCCTGGATGAACTAGCTTCCTTTTTTTTATTTTTATTTATTTTAAGGTGTGCATGAATCCATTCCAAATGATGTAAGCACACATACAGTTTAAAGAATAATTTTACAGAAATGGCAAGAGAACCTTTTGTTCTCTAAAATTCCAGTTTCAGTGTGTCGTAATTTTAACAGGTAACACAACTGAATTCCTTGTTACTCTCAGGTACTCTGATGGTTATAAATTTCCAGGCAAAATTTGTCTACCATCTTTTTTTCTATTTAGTATGAACAAACTGACATCTTCCCCCACTTGTTTCTTTTTCTTTTGTGTGTTTTTTTTTTTTTTAGCTGTTTACATGTGTGAAGTAGAAAGGCATCATCCTCAAGTCTTTCAGCATCAGGACAGTGAGAGCTTCTCTCGTCTAGAGGATCCCTTACCTGCTGTGGAGGGAGTGACCTATGAACTCTGCGCTGGCATTGTAGACAAACCAGACCTTTCTTTAGAAGAAATTGCATGTGAGGAAGTCTTAGAAGAGTGTGGCTATCGTGTTCCTGCTACGGACCTAAGGAGGATCACTTCTTACAGGTAAATAGCAGTAAGTTAAAACACTTTGCGTTTTGTTGTTCACAGATTGCTGGAGTGGCTTGAATATAAATTAATGTTCCCTGTTCCCTTATTTAAGCACTGTGTTGGAGGAAGATGGACATCTGAAAGTATATGAAAGGTGTAATTTTCAGCAAGTGAGAGGAGTATTTACAGAGACTGAAGGAATTATAAACTCATAATTATGGGATTGAATTCCCAGTAAGAATGATACTATTGTGATTTATTCCAAAGACGTTTAGAACTGGGAAAAGTTGCATTGAATTCTTCAGAGGAGTTTGTTACAGCACTAGAAAAGAGCCAGTCTTTACTGTGTCAGTTTTCCATCTCTAGAAGCTGCCCAAGATGGACTCTGGTTTACCATTAACACAATTTTACAGAAGCGTGAGAACTTGTACCATTAGATCTCTTCATAATAGTTGGGCTGTACTTAAGCCTTGTTTGAATTGGACAATAATTAATATTATATATGAATATTTTGCCAATTTGACTGTGAAAATTTTTACATTATATTTTTTGCTGGTTTTTAAATAGATATTGAAATAGATTTTAACATAATTTAAAACATAATTTAGGAGTAAGAGGAAAGGTTATATGTAAGAGGAAAAATGCAAAATGTGAGTTGTTGGAGAGGAAAAAAAAACCCTCAGGAGAAACTTTGCACACAGCTTTAATCCCATTATATCGCCTTCGCAGCTTTTAGTATTGTTATCCAAAATGTATGTGTGTGTGTGTATTTTACAGAGAAAGCAGCAGGTTTTTTACTTTCTTTATTTTTCTTGACATCTCCATTGAACTAGGCCCTGCCATTGGTTTTTAATTTGGGAATTGAATACAAATCCACAGCTGTCAATCCTGGCAAATGTTATTTCCTGCTGGATTAACAAGCAGTGCTTCTGTTGAGAGGAGGGGGTGAATCACAGAGGCCGTCTTTTGCAACTTCTTGAAACTAGATTGAGGGTTTGTTCTACTGAAAGAAAAAGTGCCTGCTAGATTTATGAGCAAAAGCTTCCTATAGAATTTCATAGGTTGGGTGACACTGGCAGGCCATAGCATGCAATTATATATGTATGTATATGTATGTAACACAGAATAGGAAAAGTAGGATATAATTTCTGTAGTTGTAGAAGTTTGCAGCTTTGGTGTAGAGGTTCGACTCAACATTAACAATTTACATCTGGCTAAAACACCGTATGTGTTTTGGTTGATAAATGTATTTGTATCTTACAGGGGGTTGTTCTTTCAGTTGTTTTTTTTTTTAATTACACTGATTTGCAAAGAGAGTATACAATGGAATTTTCTCTGTTGACACCCATGCAAAGGACGCTTACTATGTTAATCCTTCCATCCTTCTTTGTCTCTGTGGGCACAGCTTTCTGCCCATGGAGATCCGTGCTGAAGTCAGAAGGATCTGTATAGTATTTACTTATTTAATATGAAAGGTCGAAGCCTCAAAGATGATATTTTACAGTTTCTTTTGTTGGACTTCCTGTGCTCTGTATTAGAATTTTATTCTAAATGTTATAGTCTTCCTATTGGGAGTGTTCTGTTCTTCTTCCTTCAGCCAAAGACTGGCGTATCTGTCTCATCCTTGAGGATTTGATGCCAAGATAGGAAGTAACTAGTTCCTATGTGAGCTTCTAAGGACTTTTTTTTTTTTCCATAATGGCTATATTACACATAAGAATTTCAGGACTTTGTCTCAGTGTTACAAGTCTTTCTAAATGTTTTATGCCATTTCATGCAGTGGCTGTCAGTACAGAGCATTGACATAAAGTGCATTGACATTAGTGCATATGCATCCTATTAATAATTACAATACATCATGCACTTCTATTATTATCTATCATCTCAGTGATCCATGTAATAGTTGCTCCGTATTATTTATTGTTCCAGTGCATCAGATCAGAGAGAAACCTTAGAAAACAAAATTGGAAGGAATTTCGGATCTCACCTAGACTGCTCCTCTTCCAAAGATGAGGCTCAGCTGGATTTAAATCACTTCTGACCAATGTGCATCTGTGTTTTCTGTAAAATCTGACCATTTCTCTAAAATCTGGTCATTTCGTAGCATCTCCCACCATTCTGTCTGAAGTGTCTAACTATCCATACCATTAGCAAGTTTTTCCTCATGTCTTGGCTAAACTTCCCTTTTTTCTTCACTTCAAGCCTGTGACTTACTACCCTGTTCCCCGTGGACATGAAGTACTTGGCGCCTTCCATGTATCTGTTTGAACATGTCTCCCCTTTATTTTATTTTTGCTATGCAAAACTATCTTAGTTGATTTAAGCTTTCTCTTTTGACCATGTTTTCTAGAGGTCTGACCATTCCTTCTGTTTTCCTCTGCTTTCTCTCCATCCAGTCTACTTATTTCCTAAAAATATAGTGCCCAAAGTGGAGCACAGTATTTTAGTGAAGGCTTTACCAGTGTCAGGTAGAGTGGAAGCTTTATTTCCCTAGTCTTACAGATTATTTTGTTTATATGCTGTGGTATGACGTTGCCTGTTTTGTGGTGGTGTTATGTTGTTGACTTATGGTCCACAACGCCTTCCCCATCTCAAAACTATTTTCTGCAGCAGTACTGCGCTGTCATTCACCTCCTGTCTGTATTTGTACTGCTGGTTATTGCTGCCTGACCACAGAGCCTTGCACTTGACTTTACTGAATTACATCCTGTTTTTTCAGACCGCTTCTCTGAGTTGTTGGGATGATTTTGAATTCTAATATTCATCTCTAGTTTCTTGTAAATAATCTATCTCAGCTTTGCTACTTGCAGTCTGCATTTCAGCATACAAGTATTAAAACAAAATATTGAATTATGTTGAATGGAGGATGGTTCCCAGTGGAATCCTGTTTAGTTTGTATTTCCAATTTGACAGTGATATCCATTCCATGAGTACCATTTTCATGCTAGTTTTGCACCTATTTCGCAGTTTCTTTGATTTCTAAGTATATCATGATCTCCTAACTTCTTAATGAAACTGTCACATTAGCTAGCTTTCAAAGCCTTGATAAACTGAAGTTATACTGTTTGTGTTGCTGCCCCTATCCATGAGACCTGTTATACTATTAGAGCTGATATTTGTTTGACTGCACTTGATATATTCCTGACAAATCTGTTAGCTGTTGTTCCTTTCTTGATGCAAATAAAACCACATTCAAATATTAGGATAACTATAATTAATAATTAGTGAGTTAAGTCTATTAGATTTTTGTAGATAAAACCTCAGGGTTGTGTGCATGGTGAAAAGGCTTTTGTACAAATGAGGCTTTCTGTGCCGTCACACCCTTTGGTCTGAAAGCAAGGAGCTAATGTCCTAATGACACCCCTTTCTGGAATCGTGGTCATGAGGAGATTGCCTGACTGGAATAAAAGCAGGACTTGAGCTAGACCTGACAGAAGGACATGGAAAGCAGAAGGCACATCAAATGTAAAGGGAGAAGTGGTTTTGGCTGGGGAGGTCAATACATGTCTGTGGCTAATGGATTAAGAAGGGGAGGGCATGGACAATGTATAGGGAGAACTTAGACTAGGGGGGGAAATGGAATAGAAAATCCTCGAGTAGAAAAAGAGGAAGAAGAGATGAGGGACCAAATGCAGAGAAAAAACATGGGCTGAGAACTGAATGGACTTGGGGAAAGTACCTTCATGGTGGTGGAGAAGAATTCTCTTTAATGAAACGAGGAAAATACTTAGACTGTGTTGAAGTAGAACTTTGTTCCTCAGGCAATGGGTGCAGTAAAGATTGGAGGTAATGTGAAGATAGCTTTTTTTACCACATTTATTATCAGGGCCTGCAGCAGTGGCTTGGGGGGATTTTTTGTTTTATGTTTCTCAGCTAACCGGAAAAGGTTAACTACAGTACTGCTACAGATATTTCAAAAGCACATAAAAATAAGCCATTGGACCCCATTCTTAAGCTCTGTCAAAGCTCCTGTGACATGATACTCATCAGATAGAAGTCAGGCACTGAATTAAGCAGATCTCAGACTTAATTACCTGGAATGATCCACAGCGTAGCTGTGGAGTCAATGAGAAATTAGGAAAGAAGCCAGGAGTTGGGGAATTTACATTAGTTGAGCAAGAGTCTTAGGAACAAGTTGTTCCAGCAACAGGAGGACAGTATGGCGTGGGTCAATGAAGGAGACTGGATTGGGGGCAGATAATGAGAAGGACAAACATATTAAGAGGGACTTGACTGGAGGAGGTCAGAGGAATCACACTTTGAAGAATCAGAAATATCTGTTCCTATTACAGAAAAATGCCAGCCAGAAGGTGAATTTAAATGCAAATGGTTCATTTTGCTGTGTAGACGGAGGCAGGAATCATTCTAAAAAAAATCTGTATTGTTTGCAACCTGTGTGGTGAGTTTCTCAGCATGGCTACACAAACTGCTTTTGTGCTTGGCATACAAAAAGTAACCTCATTTTGGTATTACAAAAAGTTTGTTTTCTGTTCTGGCAGCAGCTAATCCACTTCTGGAGGCTTCCTGAAAGTTTTGACGCCTACTGGTGTGTTGAGTTCTCATCAACTGTATGTATGGCCTCAGTCAAAAATAGCATAGATGGTAGGTGCAGTGGGTGTAAAGGAACCATTTAGCTCAATAATAAAGTGAAGCTAATGCTATAGGAATATAATTGTAAACTGAGGCTTCATGAAAATGGTAGCCAGTTATGGCTAAATGTTCATTTTTAAAAGCTATAAAAGAAATCTGTGAGCTTCCCTCCAGGTTTTGTTTTTTTTTCCTAAATGCAGTATTTCGTAAGTAAACAACTTTGGACTTACTCATACATCAGATATAATACATTTTCTATCTGTCATGGTATCCCAGCAGTTTTCAGTTTGAATCCCATGTGAAATTCAGCTGTGAGTTAGTTTCTTTGGTTGAAGTACTTCCAGCTATCTTCCTTGAGGCTTGTTTCCTTACAGGACAGGGGCAGGGAAGTATGTTGTTGTTAAAGATGTTATTATTGCCATTGC